TTCTGTAAACCTCCAGGAATGAATCAAACTGTTTCTTGGTGCTACACAGCCCATGTCAGTCACTTGTATTATGCTCCTGGTTTACGCACAGTCACAGCTGAAGCTGTTGATCAGAACCCCAAGTCCTATCTGTATGATGTCTGTATGCTTCTCCATGGACCACTGGGCCCAAGAACTCATTCCCATGTGGGGAATTGAAAAGAGAGATGGTGCCATGGAGACACTTTTGCTTTATTGGTTCCCCCTTTGGCCAAAGAAAACCTGGGGTTTTGCTTTTCAGAACATACAATCACCACTAGCACAGGTGAGGTCTTGAAAAAACTTGGAAAAATTATCTTTTATAATTTTGTGAAAATATAATTAAATAACAAAATAAATGAAAAATCAAATGCATTACTGAAATTTCTCTTTACCAGTACTTCCTTTTCCAGAGTCAAGCTGTCTGGCCAAGGCTTACAGATATGACAGCACAAGCTGCCAGACCTCATGAACAGGGAAGGCTAGACCAAAGTAGGGACATTCACATCCTAACTTAAACCATGCATTTCACAGTAGGAAGACTGCTATGAAGCAGTCATTGGATTCAAAGGAAAGCCTTCACTTTCTCTCACTGGTTTTTTGGTCAGGCCCTGCTGCCCACCTTACTGCAAGATGTGCTGCACAGATGAATGGCTGAGCAAAAACATCATGTAGGCAACTTACAATAAAGATATGATCACGGAAAAAAATTTCTGTATGCTTGCAAACAGCCCTCAACAATTACTAATCACTGCCTCCTTAATTAGCACCGTGTTCATAAGTAAAGTATTATGGTACAGGAACATGTCCCATTGAGGGTGACTGAGTTGAAACACATTTATTTCCCCCAAGTTCCTTTTGCATGATTTTTGCTGTCAGTAGGTTTATCCTAGGTGGGGCTGTCAGTCTGATTACATGAAAAATGTTTCAAGTCTGTTTGAACACGGAGCTAGAAAGTAATTTTATTGTCTTGTTGAGTAAGCACAGCAACACTCAACGGCATAAAACAGTTCCTCCTAAAGTCCAGAATACAAAGGTGAAATTATTCATAGGCAATGATGACTCCAATGAAAAGTCTCATACGCCCTTTTACAGGCGTTACCCTAACAAAGGTGCAAAAAATAATAGTGAGGAAGTCTCTTTTCCATGCCAGAAACACTCCTATGTGCACCATTTTTCACAAGGAAGTTTTTTTAAACTATCTTACCTAATCTAAGGCTATGCTAAAGATAACCATGCAAGCTTAGCTCCTCAGAGATATCTGAGTGCCTAGCTGACTAAGATATTGATACCACGTATCTCATAGTTGTTACACTTTAAATATAAAACTATATATTACGATTGTGCATTTTACAAAATACACAGTGTTATAACAGTGAACATACTATCAGTGACCTTTTGTGATAAAGTAATAGTTCGTCAAAATCTCTCATAAGGCCTTGCTGCTGAAAATTTTAATCAATTTAAAAGGAGACTGATTAATGTAATTAGTTTCCTACTTTGAGAAACAACAAGTGAAATTAAATGAGCAACAAGGGCCATAGAAGATATAGAGAGAGGGCTCTGGAGCAGGGCAGGCAGAACATAACTAACTGCAGAAATGAATCTGAGAAAGACTCAGTGTACATGAAAGAAATCTTGTCCTGAGCGTATAAAAATAATGCTCTCTTTTCATCTTTCCTACCCTAACGCACAACCATTTTTAATGTAAATAACATATAATATGAAAGAATTTTATTTGGTTTTTACTAACCTTCAGCACCTGGGCCTCTGTATTACCTTTGGCCCCCAAAAGTACCATGGCCAGAGCAGCAGAGACACCAACAGGAGAGAAGAAAACATTTCCTGTTGGGTTGGCCTCACTAAACCTTCTGAGCAGATCAAGTGCAAATCTGCTGTTGGCATTAGGCAGGTTCTCCATGGTTATAGCTGAAAAATAAAACAATTGATAAGGACCCTGGGAAACACTCTTCAAACACCTTGCCTAACTCTGTGTGACTCAGAGAGTAATGTCTGGATTAAACAGATTGCAGCTGTGTACAGAAACAGCAAGAATATCAGTCAGTGCGTTCTCTTCTCAAAAAAAAAAAAAAATCAGTCACATTGAAAAAGCAGGGGATTTTTTCCACGTAAATTGTATATTCCAACCTTTCTTATCACACTAACTTTAAAGAATCATAGAAAAAACTCCTTGCCTTCAGATCTGAAATTTGAAGTCCATGTTCTGGCAGGACTGCAAATTAAAGTCCCTCAGCCTCACAGACCCAGCACATCCCGAGGATCTCACTCCAGCAGCTTTCCCCCAACTCCTCTACCCACATCCTGCACAGAGGACATTCGCAATATCTGCTCAGGGGCATTCAGACTCCTTTCAGCAACCTGCCCGTCTTCATGGCACAAAAACCAGGCCCTGAAAGGTGCTAATCCTGCCAAAGATTCCGTGTACACTGACCTTCAGCACGTAAAACACCGCTGTCTTCTCCAGCCTGCGCTGCCGAGAGCAAGAGAGCTGCCTGCCCTCTGCATCCAGGAACAAACACACCCGACTCCCAAGGGGGCCGGGCGGCCCTAAAGGCTCGGGCAGGGAGAGCGGGGTTCTCAGAGCTGCAGGTGACCTACCGGTCAGCGAAGGCAGAAGCGAAGTGCAGAGCAGAAAAAGCGTCAGGACTGACACTGCACGGTCAGAGCAGCGATTCATTTTGGGGAGATGCTCACGAGGAGGCCCTTGGAGCGGGTGAAAGGTGGAAGGGCTGTGTCAGGCACAAAAAAACACCCAAAGGCCACTGGCAGTACTGCTGGATGCGGTACAACCTTCCTGCTCGCCCAGCTCAGATGCCGGCTGCTCTGTGCTTGCTTGCAGCCGGACTGTCGGTGTGGCTGTTTCTGTCCTGGACCAACTGCGTGGAAGAGTTTACACCACAATGTGCGTGTTTCCTGCACAGTCTTTCTACAGGAATTGCAGAATATCACTTTCAGCTTCCTCCGACAGACGGGTAAACAGCCGGCAGCTTTGCAACGTTCTTATCGAGCTCTATGCTAAAAAACGCCCACTAACATCCCTAAAATTATACGAACCCAAAGCGTACTTTCACTTTCGTTTACTTAGAACTCCGCTCTGCGCAAGCCTTCCACCCAAACCAGCTGTTTTACAGCCTCCATCCAGGCTGCCCAAGAAGCGCCCCCCGCGCCGCAGAGACCACACCGCTAGGGAAGTGCGGAGGAAAAATTTCCCCGTCTCGTCCCGTTACCGCCTCTTTCCTGCAGGATGCCCCGGGGAGCCCCACGGAGCCGCAGCGCAGCCAAGGGCCGCCTGGCCGCCTACCTGCCGGGGCGGCGGGAGCGGAGCGGGATGGGATGGATCGGAAGGAGCCGAGCCGGGCAGTGACACCGCGGGGACACCCGAGGGGACCCTGCCGGGCGGGGGGGCGGAGCGAGAGGCGGGGCCGCAGGTGTTACCCCGCGACCGCGCTCGTCCCGCTGCCCACGGGGGAAGCCTGGGTGTCCCGGCGGAGGAAAGGGGGAGCTTCGGGAGCGGGAATAACCAACAGACCTCTCCTGCGCGAGCGGTACAGGATCGAGGGGTTTTTAGCCCCGTGGGACAAGCGCACCGCGGCCGCTCGGGACAGCGCGTCTCTGTCTTCCCACCCTGCGTCTCTATTTACGCTCCAAATTTTAGGTCAGTCATCTTTGCCTCTTTTTTCCCCCATATTAAAGAAAGTAAAAGCATGGAGGGTTTTCTTCGGCTTATCGCGATCTTTGATCTCCAACAGCCCTCGGTCTGGCCACCAGAACACACAATGCCTGTATTGGTTTCGGGTGCACAGCACCAGCCCTCTAACTGGAGCGCATGACATGCGTCCTGGTGACAAAACTGTTCGGTGTCACCACCCTGCTCTTAGAATAATGCTTTTACTTTCTTCATCTGAGACAGCTGGGTTACTGTGCACTGAATTAAAGGTAGGGCCGTCTAGCACCTTTTGATGACGACCAGCAAGCCTTGATTTGAAGCTGTGCACAAAAACAAGAGGCAGTGTTGCACTCCTGCCCAGAAACAACCAATTGCATAGGGAACCCTTTGCCGGAAAGCCTTGCAAGGCTAACCCCTTCACTTCATGGCAACCCAATTAAGAGCTCAGGTTTCAAAATCTAGAAAATCTCATGTTTAACAATGAATATGAAACAAGCTACATAGAAGCTAGTAATACTATAAAGGAAAAACTGTGGTTTTTTTAATTCATAAAACTGATTTTTAAAAATGCACAATTTATGGTTAAAAAAAGGAACAGACTCCTACAGTGCTTTTATTATTTCGGGAACAGAAAGCTCAAAACACAGCCCTGTGTCAGGAAACTGTTGCAGATCTATCGTTGGTATTATACCATTAAACCACATTCTTTGTTAAAGGACTAGAACCAGGAGACAGGTAATAAACCCAGGTGTCCTATGGTGATGAAACAAAGGTTCTCAACCCACACACACCCCATAAGGACATCTCGGACAAAAACATACTTTCATTCCCATTCCTGCCTAAGTCCTTGTCCAATTAGTAGACAAAAAAAACCCATCTCGGCAGGGTGCTCAGCAACACCTGGAACAGGCTGCCAAAGACTCCTTTCAGCTGTAGGGAATGGATCAAGGCACTAAATGGATGAGACTGGAAGAAGAAAGGGGAGTGCAGCTAAAAAGGTGCTCCAGCCTTGTCAGAAGCAAAAGTAACTTCTGCTCTCTCACAGGCTGTCAGTGCCCGACTCAGCCTCATGGACACTAAAAGTCAAGGACAGGAGAAGCCTTCTCTGAGCAAGTGGGATGTTACTTCTGTCAGCAAGAATCTCCACACCTCCTCTGGTGCCCAGGGAGAGAGGTGTTTTACATGGCACTTGCTGTGGAGCTCTAAGCAGCTCTGTTATTCTTACCAAGCCCCAGATCAAGACCACAGAAGAGGGTTCAGGCACAGCTCAAAGAGGCAATTAGTGCAAAAGGAGTCACCCTATTCTAGAGAAATCTTTATTGTGTAATGGCCCCTATCCTGCCAAGACATCTCCTCTTCAGGGAGAGCAAAACCTGCCACAGAACAAAATGCTGGAAGATTTGTTGTGCCGGATAAAGAAGAGGAAGGGATGATCAGCAGTGAAATCCGGAACGATCCTTACACTGGTCGTGAACATCATTACTGCCGCTGTGGCAGCAGCTGCTTCAGTGCCTTCTTCGTTGACTTCCACAAAGGACTTGTGAACCACTTCAGAGAGCACCAGCTCATTGCCAGATGACATTCCCGAGAAGTCTGCCTTCCCTGAGTCAAATGCATCAGGCATTCCCATGCAGCTCAGAATGGGTTTCAGATCATAATCTTCTTCCAGTTTAAATCTGGGTAAAGACACCCTCACCTCTGTAGAGCCCATCATTTCAGGACTGATCCAGTCTCTCAGCTTCTCATATGTAAGTTCTCTTTCCAGCTAAAAAAAAAAATCCCAAATGTACGTAATTAAAATGAGAAGAAAGTCAATGTTACATGGCCAAAAGTAGCAACTACCGTGTTTGTTTACATAGTACATAACATGTTTTGTTGGGGTTTTTTTACATTCCTCCATATGAGAAACAAAGGCACAGAACTGCTGACAAAGTCCCAAAGAAACGGATCCCAGTTCTTCTTCAACCAAAGGTTCGTCCTTATGGTGACAGGATGAAGAAAAAGTCTGCTCACAAGGCCCTTCACAGTCAGCGTTAGAAAACTTTATTAATAAACTCCTTGCCAGAGCACAAAATAGCCCAAACTTTTATTCCATCTCCACAACAGGAGAGATCCTACCCTTTCCTGTCTAGGTGCTGTACCAGACTTCCTTTCCTGGAAGGATACAGACTGTCTTTGTGTTCAGCTCAACAACTTACTCTTTCCAAGCCCGTGGATCCATCCTGGATTGCATCAGGGAGCAGGATGATCATGCTGAGTTCATTACCAGCATAGGGCAGCTCAAGGATTTTGGTCTGCAAGTTTCCAATATAGGTCATGTTAAATATATCTGTCTTGAACATCATCTGCACAGGCTTGGTCTCGTTCTAAAAATTAAGAGATGTCATCAGTTAGTGCTGAGCTACTGTGCTGCTCTCAAAACACAGAGCAGGCAGCCAGTTACTCAGGGCTTTTGAGAATTTAACCAAAGAGAACTAATCACACACCATGGAGTACAGCCCCACCGCGGCCTTTTCTAAAGCAAGAGATAAACCCCATTGATACACAGTAGCACTGCACAATATTCCATCACAAATCCAAAGGCAGATTATTCACCAGCAGTACATCCTGTTGGTGTTACATCTTGAAACCTGGCCCTAGCTTTGCATTGGTCCAAAGACGCGAAAACAGAATTGTGTCTCTGGATACTCTGCCAGCTTTTTCAACACATTTCAACAGTGAGAGGGCAAGGTCCCCAAAACCAAGTCAGTCCAGCACTCTCTGAAGGGCTGCAGTAGGTAGTATGGGGTGAGCAGTAGCATTCCCTGTTGAAAAAGTGGTATTAACCATTTCAAACATTCTGGGATATTTTTCACCACTTGGGGAGGGACACTTCCAAGTCAGCCAGGAGGGCTTCTGTTCTGCAGAATGTTTCTTTGAAGCAAGTGAGTTAAAGAAGGCATGTTAGCAGTTCTTGTTCCTGACATTGGAGGCCAACCCAGAGGTGCAGGGGATCCTGAGGGGCAGCCATGGCCTGTTCATGACAGTAGCCAAGCCTTCCTCACTAGCCTTGATCTGCTTCTAAAAGCAAGACAGTATAACACGGAGGTCTTCACAGGACATTTTTCTCCCATTTCTTTTGGATCAGTTCATTGGTAGAAATGCAGCAAAAACTACTGAGTGAAGGTGACTTAGATATACAAATTTCTGGAGGAGTATAAGTGCTCTTTTCTGCCTAAAACCTAAAGAAAAATATTTTTCTGATCAACTCCAGTTTCAGGCTGAAATAAGCAAGTTCACTAATCCTGTGAAATTGTTCATGACACTGAAATAACCTGACAACGTTGCTCAAGTGTTCTCTCCTCATCAGTTCTAAGTCCTGTCATTACGTAGAGGGGTAACTTTCTCAAACAAAGAAGGGTTAAAGGAAAAAAAGGAGAGAGAGCATGAAAGAAATACTTGTTAGATTAAACTTTCTAGTAATTCTGTGAAACTTTACAGAAACTCAACAAAGACAGCATCCATAGGAAAGGGAGGGGGCATAAGGAAGTTCATACAGCCTAACCAAGGTCACCCTGCTTGAATGTTTTTTCTTCAGAATGCTATGGGTTCATTTCAGATTAATAGCATATTCCCATCATTTCAGCACATCATACCTTGTTAATATGAAATGGCCTTTCTGTGGTTCCCAATTTGTTGAACTGCTTTTCCCAGTTGCCTTTGAAATAGATGGCATTCACCAACACAAGTCTGGTCAGGGAATCAAGAAGCCCCTCTGCCAACAGGTTCTGAATTTTACCTTTATGATACAAACAAACAACATTTAAGAGTTGGACACATATCTAATTATTATCCAGTACACTATCAACTCTGCAATTAAGACACAAGAGAGAAGAGAATTATGTACCACAGAGAGCAGGAGCTCAACAGTTGGGTTGTTTTAATTCACAACCTTATATCCTGAAATAGCTCTTTACCCAAGCCATGGTCACCAGGAAATACAGCAGGGCACTTGGCAAAGCACTCACCTTCAGTCCTTTCCTCTACCCAGCCATTGATTCGTTTTCTGGAATCCTCCCAAGCGTTCATGAAGTCAGTCGGTTCCAGTCCAGCGTGGTAGGATTTCTGACTCGACTCTAGAAATGACTAACAGGGACATGCCCAACACATTTGCAGCAAGAGATCTGACTCTCACTCAGACATGCAGGATTCTTAAACACACCAAGAAAATCTGCCTACTTTCCTCCCCCAGCTTCACATAGAACACTTAAAGTTCTGGCTGACATTTGTAAGATTTATACAAACTATTTGAACTGGGAATTGTCCCCTGTATGGTTTCAGGTCAAACGTCTTATTTACTGTGCTACAAACCTCTATGTAACTTCACTGACAAATGAAGTGGCTGCTGTTTTCGTGGGGTTTTCTTCATGGTTCAGCGAGAGATCATATGACTTCCTAAGCTACTCTCTACATAAATTTAATTGTTACACTTCCCAGACTAATGGAAAACTTTTAGTTCAGTTGAAAAATTAATCTTTCATAGACAGGATAAATCATCCCTTCTGTCTGACTTAATATACTTATAGCTTTATTACACAGAGGCAATGTTTGAGACTAGAGTCCGGGTAGTTTTTATCTACTAGACAAATGAAACAATAGCACTCTTCATAAAAGAAACACTGGAAATGACACCCAGAGGAAAAAAAAAATAGAGCCTTACATGTTCTTGCACCTAGGGAAGCATTGAAAGAAACATGTATAACACAGTATCTATTATCCTTATTTAGATCTTCTGATAAGGAAAATCTTAAAAATCCTGTATTGTTCTCACAATGCTATCTGGATCACTTACCTAGGAGACAAAAACTACAAAATACTGCCCATGCTGAAGAGCAGTAACGACTCTTTTCTTTGGTCATATTTCCACACAATGAAGGAAAAAGAAATACATCAAACGTGTGTCCCACAGCCAAAAGTGTTAGTGGATCACAGAACCCTCGAGATGGAGAGACTGATGGATATTACCCTACTTTGCAACATTCAGGGTATCTGAAAAGAAATTCTCCACCAAATTCAGATAGCAGGCTCTGGCATCATCTACTGCATTGCTAGTCCAGCTCAGAAAATTTGGAAAGCAGAGCCAAAGCCTGCCTTTGACCTCCAAACCAAACAGGTAGCAAGTACATTATACTAAGAAATGCCACACATTTCATGGTTACTTACTGAGAGAAACTCAAATGTCTTTTCCCCATAAAGCCGGTTTGCAGTTCTCAGGATGTATTTGGTGTTTGGATCGTTAATTTCAGAGAGAAGGGATTGATACCCATTGTGAGCATCCTCAGCTTTGTTCAGAGAAAGCACCTGCACAAAGACAAACATCCTCAACAGGCCTTCTCAAAACACACCTGCTTCAGCACAATGACTTTGAGTTTTAAAGGACTTCTACGTTAAACACTGTGGCTTCAAGGCAAAAGATTTTTCATCCCATCTGAAGTTTATCATACAAGGCACATAAGATGCACCCAGACAACCCAGATGTTGTCAAAGGAATAAATTAGGGAGCACAAGACTCAGCAATACTGATTTTCCTTCCATCAAGCCAAGCACTGGAGGATCACAGAATGGCTGAGGTGGGAAGGGACCTCAAGAGACCAGGGTACGACAACCTGCCCAAGCAGGGACATCTACAGCCAGCAGCTCAGGACTGTGTCCAGATGGACTTGGAATAACAACAGTATGAAAAAAATAGGATTTTGGAGTCAATTTAATAGATTTAAATGGTAGCAAAACAGGATATTATATTCCTCTTTTGCTTTGCAAAAAGGGCAAACATCATAACACAAATGATTGACTGCTCATTTCATGATGTCATTTGCATATGTTAAACATATGCCAAGCAGTATTTGCAAACTGAGCTAGATTTAAAAAAAAACTAAAAACTAAACCAAGGTGCAGTTACCACTTTGACATGCAGACAGCAGGGATTTCTTTTTTTTATGTGCCTGGATTCATTTTGAAAACATGTGTCATCTCATCTTAAGTGCAAACAAGAAAACAGAAGAAACTATCACACATTGCTAGAGATTTATCCAACCAACAAATAAAACCCCAGATACCTTTCAATTAAATTTGGAAAGGAGATCTGTCCGTGTGAAAAAAATCAAAAAAACCCACCCACAACAAAACCTTGAAACCTTGAAATTTCTACTAAACAAAGATTCCCCTATAAAAGCAATGAAAACAGGTTGTCCTTACACACACACACACACCCCCCTCCCAAAGGAAGATCTCTGCTCTCTCAGACCACGATGACAACCCTAGTTTAGCAGAAGTGCATATCACAGACTATAAGACACATTTGTTGATCACATTCAATCCAAGAAGTCTATTTTCACCTACCTTTGTTATTTGAGCTTCGGTGTTACCTTTTGAACCCAGCAAAATCATAGACAAAGCAGAAGAAATACTAAAAGGGGAAAAGAATACATTCTGACCACTTTTCTTCTCACACAGCTTTCTTAAGAGGTCCAGGGCAAAAGTGGTATTTGCTGCACACAGGCTTGCCATGGTTTCAACCTGGCAGGTAAAACACAGAACAAAAATGGATCGAATTTATTTGAACACAAAAAAACTGGTTCTCTCTTTCACATTTCCCTGCATAAACTGGCCAGCAATGTCAGCATTAGGCTGGAAAACTATCGCCTGAATGGAAAACTGATTTGGTGGCACAAGCACCTTAAACCCCATACAACTCTCTTCAGTTATTTTAGGGATTTACTGTCTGCTTTTGTTTTTCAATCCCATACCTACGTATTATTACATCTTTTGAGATGATCAGGCACAACAGGATTTTGTTCAGAACTCACTGAAAGAAAGCTCTCTTGACCTCACAAAGAAAATAATTTGCCTTTATACAAACACCAGACCAAAAAGTTAGACATCACAACGGCCAAATTACAAACTCTTACCTTCTCTAAGTCTACAGATCTTCAGCTGTACCTTCAGCTTCCTCCTACGTGTGCACACTGTGTTTTAAACAGCTGGGCTGGGAGAAGTCAGCAGAATGACTTGTCCTACAAGATAAAAAAGGAAAGAAAAAAAAACTATTTTCATCAGCATGACAGATTACAGCAATTTCCTACTGTAATATAAAGAAAAAATCAAAGTCCATTTCAGTTCCATTTTATTGCCTACAACACGGAAACACACACAATAAAATCTTAGTGCCTGTCATCCTCATCTCTGTAGGTAGTTAACTTCAGATTAAACCACACACCTATAAAAAGAGCAATAAATACTAGAACACTGAGTTAACCACAGATAGGTATCATGAATCATAAGATAGTAGCTGGTAATAAATGTCTCCATGTTTTGTTCTTCCCTTAAGGCAGGGCCTACTGTTTATACGTTGCCAAAAAATACAAAACCAACACCTTATTCATACTACTGATTCATTATCTCAGATAACTAGGTGAAAAGTGCAAGTTTCTGCATGCATGGTTTTCCACCCAAGAAAATTTCTTGCTAGGAGCTTCGCTATAAGCAGTAGCAATTTTCTCCTGTTTCTCTTCTCCCATAACTGAAAAAAATGCTAACCAAACAAAGAAACCAAGCAAGCTTAGAGGGAAAGAATCCTCCGTGTCTGAAACATGTAACTTAAGTACTTTATAGCGTAAGTAGGAGACACATAGTGTTCACGTTAGTTACAGTGAAAACCGGAATTTTCCTAATATCCCAATACCTGCAGATTGCTAGCAAAAAAGTTTTTTGACCTCCAGGTCAAAGCACACAGGAATAGTGACAGCAGCAAGCACTTATTTCCTAGAAAGTTTCCGCAGGGCTTGCATGTCTATTGGCAGGTCTGCAGGTTAAACTTGTTCAGCTTCCCAGGTCCAGCACACCCCACACATCTCACTCCCGCACCTTTCCCCCTGCTTCTTACAGCACAACTGTCCAATTTGCCCGCATCCTTTCAGACCATTTCAAACTCCTACGTGGAGGCGTTTGCACCACAACGTGGGGATTTCCAGGACAGTCTTCCTACAGCAATTGCAAAATATCATTGTCGGCTCCCTCCGACAGAGGGATAACCGCCCGGCAGCTTTGCAATCCTCTTCTAGCAAAGAAAAACCACCGCCACCTTCCCGCCCCCAAAGCCAAACCAATACCCGAAAGCGCCTTTGATTTCCTTACACCAGCCGAGCAAGCCTTTCACCCAAACCATCCAGCTGACGGCCTCCAGCCCACCCTGCCCGAGAACAGCCCCGATTTTGCGCGAAGACGAAACATTTCCGCATCTCTTCCCGTTACCGCCCCGTTGCCCGAGGACGCCCCGGGGCGGGGGTAGGGGCGGAGACCTGCGGAAGGCTGCGGAGCCCCGGCACAGCCGAGCTCACCTGCCCGCAGCCCTGCCCGGCCGGCGGGAGCGGCGACAACCGCGGACACACCGCCCGGGTGGGGCGGGGACCCAGGGGCGGGGCGGGGCAGCCACACAGAACCCAGGTGTGCTCTGTCCAGAATCGTTCTCCTCGTACGACAGATTTTAAAATCTATCTATAATTTACGGCTGAAAAAAAGGAACAGAGTCCCACAGCGCTCGTGGTTTTTTATTATTTCAGGAACAGGAACTCCAAAACACAAACACAGCCCTGTGCTAAGAAAGGTGTTTCGGCTGTGGCTTTGGCATTATACGGTTCAGCTATGATGTTTAAGTAACTACGAATAGGATAAATATATAACGATAGCAAAAACGTTAAAGCTTTGTCATTCAAATATTGCAGAGGCACCATATGCTCTTTTGTAACATTCTTTGTTAAAGGACTAGAACCAGGAGACAGGTAAACCCAGGAGTCCTGTGGTGATGAAACAAAGGTTCTCACTCCACAAACACCCCATAAGGACATCTGGGACAAAAACATACTTTCATTTCCATTCCTATTAAGTCCTTGTCCAGTTAGTAGACAAAAAAAAAAACATCTAGGCAGGGTGCTCAGCAACACCTGGAACAGGCTGCCAAAGACTCCTTTCAGCTCTAGGGAATGGATCAAGGCACTAAATGGATGAGACTGGAAGAAGAAAGGGGAGTGCAGCTAAAAAGGTGCTCCAGCCTTGCCAGAAGCAAAAGTAACTTCTGCTCTCTCATGGGCTGTCAGTGCCCGACTCGGCCTCATGGACACTAAAAGTCAAGTCAAGGACAGGAGAAGCCTTTGCTGAGCAAGTGGGATGTTACTTCTGTCAGCAAGAACCTCCACACAGGTGCACAGGGAGAGACGTGTTTTACATGGCACTTGCTGTGGAGCTCTAAGCAGCTCTGTTATTCTTGCCAAGCCCCAGATCAAGACCACAGAAGAGGGTTCAGGCACAGCTCAAAGAGGCAATTAGTGCAAAAGCAGTCACCCTATTCTAGAGAAATCTTTATTGTGTAATGGCCCCTATCCTGCCAAGACAACTCTTTAGGGAGAGCAAAACCTGCCACAGAACAAAATGCTGGAAGATTTGTTGTGCCGGATGAAGAAGAGGAAGGGATGATCAGCAGTGAAATCCGGAACGATTTCAAGGCACTTCAACATTATTTTTGCCGCTGTGGCAGCAGCTGCTTCAGTGCCTTCTTCGTTGACTTCCACAAAGGACTTGTGAACCACTTCAGAGAGCACCAGCTCACTGCCAGATGACATTCCCGAGAAGTCTGCCTTCCCCAAGTCAAATGCATCAGGCATTCCCATGCAGCTCAGAATGGGTTTCAGATCATAATCTTCTTCCAGCTTAAATCTGGGTAAAGACACCATCAGCTTTGTAGACTTCATCATTTCAGGACTGATCCAGTCTCTCAGCTTCTCATATGTAAGTTCTCTTTCCAGCTAAAGAAAAACCCCACATTTATTTCGTTACAGTGAGAAGCGAGTCAGTGTGACACAAGCACAAGAAGTGGTTACTGGGTTTGTTTACATAGCACAGAACATGCATCTTTTTTACAGTGCTTTAGAGTGTCTCAAGCCAAAGTGCAAGTTATACTTCTTACTACAGACTACGGCCCCAGCCAAGATCATTCCCATATGCCTTTTTTTGGTAGGGACAATAGGGATTAATCCCTTCCATGTAATGTTTACTTTTACAGAACATGTTAGGATTGTTGGGGTTTTTTTACATTTTGATATAGGGGAAGCAATGGCACAGGAGCTGCTGGCCAAGTCCCAAAGCAACTGAACTCACTTCTTCTGTCTCTTAACCAGGGGTTCCTCCTTCAGGTCGATAGGGAAGGAAAAAGTCTGCTCATAAGGCCCTTCACCATCAGTGACAGAAAACCTTATTAAGAAACTTGTCCAGATCACAAAATACTCCAAACTTGTATCCCATCTCCAACAGAGGAGATCCTACCCTCTCCTGTGAGCCTACTGCCAGGTGCTGTGCCATAGACCATCTGCCAGCTGCTCAGAATAGAAGATCTACAGGAGAAGCCACAGGACTTCCTAAGACACCACCTAAATTCTCCCTCTCCACTCATGATGCTCACCATACCACGCCTTCACCAGAACCACAGCTGACCTCTGCTCCTGAGGAGGGTCAGATCTTCTTCCAGAGCCTCTGCCTAAGGAGGCAGCACCCAGCTTGAGCAGCAGTGACACCAGGTGGGCTACTCACTTTGGGGGCAGGGAACTGTTGGACATTTCAGCTGGCATTGAGCATCAGCGACAGAATAGCTCTGGAACCAAACTGAGGTCTATGTGCTGTACCACACTTTCTTCCCTGGAAGGATACAGGCTGTCCTTGCATTCAGCTCAACAACTTACTCTTTCCAAGCCCGTGGATCCATCCTGGATTGCATCAGGGAGCAGGATGATCATGCTGAGTTCATTACCAGCATAGGGCAGCTCAAGGATTTTGGTCTGCAAGTCTCCAATATAGGTCATGTTAAATCTATCTGTCTTGAACATCATCTGCACAGGTTTGGTCTCGTTCTAAAAGTTAACAGATGTCATCAGTTGGTGCTGAGCTCCTGTGCTGCTCTCAAAACACAGAGCAGGCAGCCAGTTATTCAGGGGTTTCGGGAATTTGACCAAAGAGAACTAATCACACACCACAGAGTACAGACACAGCACTGTCTTCTGTACATCACTAAGATTCACTGAGATTTAATTCTTAATTACGAAGTTAGAAATCTCGGTGAAGATTCCTCTAAGGAAATATGGCAAATATGTGTCCTTGCCTTTTTCCTCCCTGAAGAACTAGTGACAAGCCCTGAACAGAGACACTAAGAAGCAGGGGCTCTGTTCCTCGCTCTAAACGAGTAAAAGTAATTTCAATATATGGACTTTCATTTTTACTTCATGTGGTTCCAAGTACTACAAAAAAGAAGAATTTAAATACTTTAAAATTATACTAAAAATACCAAGGAAGTGAGAGCATTATTTTGAATTCTTACAAGTCATAAGCATAGTAAGAAGGGCAGAGATTTTCATTTTCTGCTCTCTCATTCCATTTCCACATGGACCAACAGCTACTATTGTTTCAATCATTATTTTCCTCCTTTTCAGTCTCATTGTTCCAGTAGGTAGTATAGGGTGAGCAGTAACATTCCTGTTGAAAAAGCAGTATTAACCATTTCAAACATTCTGGGATATTTTTCACCACTGGGGGAGGGACACTTCCAAGTCAGTCGGGAGGGTTTCTGTTTTGCATAATGTTTCTTTGAAGCAAGTGAGTTAAGGAAGGCATGTTAGCAGTTCTTGTTCCTGACACCAGAGGCCAACCCAGAGCTGCAGGGGATCCTGAGGGGCCCCCATGGCCTGTCCATGACAGTAGCCAAGCCTTCCTCACTAGCCCTGATCTGCTTCTAAAAGCAAGACAGTAAAACACAGAGGTCTTAACAGGAGATTTTTTTCCCATTTCTTTTGGATCACTTCACAGGTAGAAATGCAGCAAAAAAGCATTGACTGAAGAAGACTTACATCCACAAGTTTTTGCACCTGTCTTTGTGTTAAACTTGCTAGTAATTATGGGAAACTTCACAGAAACTCAACCAAGCAAGTGTCCATAGGAAAGGGAGGGGGCATAAGGAAGTTCATACAGCCTAACCAAGGTCACCCTGCTTGAATGTTTTTTCTTCAGAATGCTATGGGTTCATTTCAGATTAACAGCATATTCCCATCATTTCAGCACATCATACCTTGTTAATATGAAATGGCCTTTCTGTGGTTCTCTCTTTGTTGAACTGCTTTTCCCAGTTGCCTTTGAAATAGATGGCATTCACCAACACAAGTCTGGTCAGGGAATTAAGAATCCCCTTTGCCAACAGGTTCTGAATTTTACCTTTGTGATACAAACAAACAACATTTAAGAGTTGGACACATATCTAATTATTATCCAGTAGACTATCGACTCTGCAATTAAGACACAAGAGAGAAGAGAATTATGTACCACACAGAGCAGGAGCTCAACAGTTGGGTTGTTTTAATTCACAACCTTATATCCTGAAATAGCCCTTTACCCAAGCCATGGCCACCAGGAAATACAACAGGGCCCTTTGCAAAGCACTCACCTTCAGTCCTTTCCTCTACCCAGCCATTGATTCGTTTTCTGGAATCCTCCCAAGCGTTCATGAAGTCAGTCGGTTCCAGTCCAGCGTGGTAGGATTTCTGACTCAACTCTAGAAATTACTAACAGGGACATGCCCAACAGATTTCCAGCAAGAGATCTGGCTCTCATTCAGACATGCAGGATTCTTAAACACACCAAGAAAATCTGCCTACTTTCCTCCCCCAGCTTCACATAGAACACTTAAAGTTCTGGCTGACATTTATAAGATTTATACAAACTATTTGAACTAGGAATTGTCCCCTGTATGGTTTCAGGTCAAATGGCTTATTTACTGTGCTACAAACCTCTATGTAACTTCACTGACAAATGAAGTGGCTGCTGTTTTCGTGGGGTTTTCTTCATGGTTCAGCAAGAGAACATATGATTTCCTAAGCTACTCTCTACATAAATTTAATCGTTACACTTCCCAGACCAATGGAAAACTTTTAGTTCAGTTGAGAAATCAATCTTTCATAGACAGGATAAATCATCCCTTCTGTCTGACTTAATACAGCTTTATTACAGAGAGGCAATGTTTGAGACTAGAGTCCGGGTACTTTTTATCTACTAGACAAATGAAACA